GATTGACGCGCTATGAGAATACTACATAGAATGTTATGCAAAGTGTCATAAGTTATTCTCATGATGATAATGGTGTATACCACCCTTCAACCTGAAACCACTATGGACCCTAGATGTAGAGTCAAGTACTTTATTGTTGATCGAACGTCATCCGTAACTGGATGACTATAAAGACGGTTGATGGGTACTTCACAAAGCATGCTAAGGGACATGAGTGACCTAGATGGAATTTGCTCATCCTGCATAACAGGATAAATGTCTAAGGGCCCAATATTGAACTGGACAAGGGTGACACAATGTATGCCTTGTGTTCAATATAGACATGAGGGCAAAAGGGTAATTGTACAACACAAATATTATCACGGAAAAGGTTTGGTCAGATCACATGACATTTTCGTGACTTGGGTAACAGTGATGTGTTGCTAGATACCGCTCACTGTTTATTATATTAAATGTGTGATTTAATATAATTGCCAACGTCGCGAAAACCTACAGGGTCACACACATAAGGACAGGTTGATGAGAGATAGAATAAATAAGGAACACCAGAAGATACGGTGCACTTAAGTGTAATACAGAAAGTGGTAAGGTACCACATGGATAAGTGATATATGGTACATCATAAGGTATGATGTCCATAAGCTTAATTAGGCTTTTAGCTTATAGCCTTAATTGGGCTTTTAGCTTGTAGCCCACACGAGTGATTATATAAATAGATCCCTTGTGATGAAGCAATTTTTACTTGATGCAATTTCGTTTTTGATTCTCTCTCTCACTCAAGGTTTTCGTTCGTGATCAGCTAGCACTGTGACCAGAAGCGATCTGTTCGTGTGGACTGAGTAGAGGCGTTGTTCTTCATCAACGCTCGTGATCACAACATCAAAGGTCTGAATCGCCACAAGAGGTAAATATTTCTATCACTGACCATGTTCATTCGTAAGGATCGCTAAAGGAAAATTTTAAATTCCGTTGCGCCTTTGATCACAATTTTCCTTCAGTGGTATCAGAGCCACTTACGAAACCATGGATCTGATAGTTGTTTATGTTCTATATTTTCTGTTTTGATTCGATTAAAACCAGAATGAATTGAATAATAAACGAGTAATTAAAGTTGGCATCTGTTGTGTACGATTTGGATGATTGATATTGACTATGCTTCAGAATCCGACATTAGTATGGTGAAGCAGTGATACATCGATCGTCCATAGGTTACACAAATAAGATCGATCACTTTTATATATGATATAAGTAAATCTGATGCAACGATGGTATATGGGATATATTGTTTCTGTTTCGTTCATTCAAACACTTGATTATTGTTATTCCTTTGACCGATCACTGTTCATATGCTTCCGAATCCGACATTAGTATGGTGAAGCAATGGCATGTGATTGATCATACTGAATTATCAATCGAAATGTGTTTGACAGCATGAAACTGTTGCATTAGGGTTCATGACGGCACAAGGGTTGTGTTGTTGCAGAGTTATGTGATTAGGGTTGTGAATGCACAAGAGTTGTACGAAAATGACACCGATTTCAAATGAATTGTTCATTAAAATTTTGCGTCGGGGCGCTGCCTGTTGTACCCCAAATTTTGACCTAAGATACCGTCTTCCATCTGCATCATTCGCATTGCAAGAGTTTTGACCTATATTTTATCAAATTTTCAAAGCAGTTTAAAAATTCATAACTTTTTCGAGTCGGGAGCTGTTTATGTGTTGAACGCTAAATTTATTAACTGATCAAGACTTAAACAATGTTCATTAATTATCTATTATCTTAAATTCAAATAATTGGAATTTATTTTCGATTATTACGTAATTTAAAGATTTATAAATAATAAAAAGATTATTTGAGAAAAGGTTTATTAATTGATCAAATAATGTTTATTACTTATTCATTATCCTAAATTTAAATAATGGGAACCTGTTTTCCGTTATTATATAATTTGAAGGTTTATGAATAATGAAATAAACATTTGAAAATGAGTATATTAATTGATCAAGCAATGTTTATTTGATTATTTATTGTTCTAAATTTAAATAGCTGAAATTCTATTTTTCAAGTTATTATAATTTAGAAGAATTAAAAATAATAATAAAGTAAATGATTGAAGTTATTAATTGATCAATGATATTTATTTATTTGTTTATCATTCTGAATTTAAATGATTAAATTTGATTTTTAGTCATTATATAATTTAAAGAATTATAAACAATAAATAAATAATTGGAAAGTAAAAGAATTAATTGAGAAATAATAGAATTTTTATTCACTTTATTCTATTTATTACAATTGTCATTTAAATATTTGTGTTATTACAAAATATTTATAAAGGCAACTACACAAATGCTTAAAGTAAAATAAAAAGCTATTTTTTTAATTCTAATTCTAAATCTTCCATCCAATGCTCTTGTTTGCTCATTTAATTTTACCTGCGAAAACAATTAAAAGAAAAGTCAGAATTGAATAAATAATTAAAATGCAGAAAATAAATTTAATGTTCATCATTAAAAGCAAACGGCCGGAATCAGTTCGCCCTTTTTGCAAATCGCGGGATTTCTCCCGGTTCACAAAAAGGGAGGAATTTTTATGAATGCATAATTAAAAAATAGCACATTTTCAAAATCATTTGCATTTTTATCAAAAGGCCCACTGCATATTTCACATATGCATAAATTCAATTTTGGTCAAAACTGCATAAGCATAAATCAACAGCATACATAATTTCAAACAAACATATGCACAACATAAGCTAACGTTAACCTGCAGAATAACATAGGCTAATGCAAGACAAAAGAGATATGCAATTTCAAACAATGTGCAGTCTTAGAACAATGTATGCAAGCAACCTATATTTCCTTTTTCATCATATTCCAGCCTATTACTTTTTCAGACAGCAGTACAAGATATCATTTTTATATATCATTTCTGTACTTGAGGTAGAGAGAAGAAGAGGTTTAGTTTTTGCAGGTTTTGATTTAAGCATGAAATGGGAATAAAGTCAACCATATGTAGCAGCATATGTGCAGCATCAGAAAATATAATAATATACTCAAACCTGAGCCATCAAGGAGGCAACGGCTATATGAGAAGAAATCCCTTCAAAAGGAAGTCAAAAAACTTGCATAGTCCACTACATAACCATCACTGCATAGTCCACTACAGAACCATAACCTGCATACTACACAAGACTACCAAGCAAAATACCATAGTCCTTTGGCAAAACCACATCACTGCAAAAACTATCCAGTAAATAACATATTCCATTTCCACACAAGATATCACTGCAAAACTAAGCAAATATAGTCCATTGCAAACCATTTCCAAACAAAAACCTACATGAGAACTATTCAAAAAAACCATATTCCATTTCCACAACCTGCATACTGTATCAAAACCTTAGATAAACAGTATAATCCAAAACCACCAAAAAAAACCATTTATTCAATATTTCCAACCAGGTTTTTTGACGGAGAAGAAGAGAAGAATTAGTAGCAGAAAGCAAAGAGCGAGAAGTCTTCAGAGCTTACCTGACTTCGCCGGAATCGTACCGTCGGACTAGCTCCGACCATGTGAGTTTCTTCAGTTTTTCGCATAAACCTTTATACCGTTGTGTTGCCTTTGTCTCACTTAATAATCCTCTCTCAATTTCCTGAAATCATGTAAAATGGCCATTTAATATCATTGCAAATCATCAATACATCAATCCCTATTTAACACCGGCAATAACTCGTTCGATAAATTTCAAGTTTATTAAATGTTGCAAGACCGATACACAATCACATAAGCACTATTAATTTAAAGCCAACTTGTAAAAATATAGAAAATTCACAAACCTTTTTCAATTACTCGTTCGGACTTCGCGGTTCATTACTATCATCTTCGTTCAATTCTTCTGCCGCTCTTAAATCCGCATCTGATACAACGATATCATCGCTTCTATACCCGAATTTTCGTCTTCACTTCAATCATTTTCATCGGGTTGTCTCTCTACTTCAATCAACACACGCGCAACATTAGAAGCAATTCAGACACAGAACTTTTCATAAAAAAGAGATTAAGAAGGCATACCTTTAACCTCTGTTTCCATAACCACCATGTTAAAACTCTTCTTCAACAACATCTTCGCGTTTGCATCATTGTGAACGACCACTTTCTTCTGCGAATCCAACAAACCGTGCTAATAGTATCCATCATTATCTCCTTTTGTAATCTCGTCCTTTTAACCTTCAACATCATTACAGATTTAAATCAAAAACAAAAACCTTTATTTCACAAAACATACCATTCAAAAATCTGAATTTGAAAGGAAGCAGAGTACCTTTAACCTTCAATCATCTCCGTGCCACTCGGACTGCACCTGTGGCTCAAGAAATTTGCTGTGGACAAGCCTTGAAGCACTTTTCCAACTCTTTAGGCACATATTTTTGTCTTCATTCTTCTCTTGCTGCCTAGGCATTGTTTTTTAAAGTTAGTATTACTTGGATTTGAAGAGCTCAAGGAGAGAAACAATATTCATGGAAAGTCACCGTTGAAAAAAATAGGAACGTATTATTAGCTTTTGCAAATCAATGACAGAATTTTCTTTTACTGAAAAAAACCAAAAAACATAACAACAATTAACCGCATCGTACCTCTCGCGGCCATTGTGAGCGCATCGCCTTTTCTGGTCACCCTACTCCGCACATCCCTCGCTTAATCACCATCTTCATCAACCTGTTTCAACAGTCACAACAATGTTTCAAAAGTCTGGAAAATCATCACAGTACACATAATTCATAAAAACTCATAAGAGGTCACAAGAACTCACCTCTCAAAATGCTAACCATTCTTGATCTTCAAATTCCCTCCGCCATCCTTCCATCTCCCAGTTCTCCATCTACTCCCTTTGCAAACTGCTATGAAAAACAAACAACAACAGTTAAAGAAGCAGAATTGAAAAAGTGGAAGAAGAATCTGTGAAACACCAAACACACTAACAAACGGCTGGTAGCGATGTCAACTCCGGCTAGGAAGAGACTGATGAGAGATTTCAAGAGGCTGCAACTAGATCCACCTGCAGGAATCAGTGGTGCTCCTCAGGATAACAACATCATGCTATGGAATGCTGTTATATTTGGTCCTGATGATACTCCATGGGATGGAGGCACGTTTAAGTTGACTCTTCAATTTTCTGAGGATTATCCAAACAAGCCACCCACTGTACGGTTTGTCTCCCGAATGTTTCATCCAACATTTATGCTGATGGAAGCATTTGCCTGGATATATTGCAAAATCAGTGGAGTCCTATATATGATGTAGCTGCAATTCTCACTTCTATCCAGTCATTGCTTTGTGATCCCAATCCAAATTCTCCTGCAAACTCTGAAGCAGCACGGATGTATAGTGAGAGCAAGCGCGAGTACAATAGAAGAGTTCGAGAGACCGTGAGAGAGTTAGAGGGTGATGAACGTTTTTTTCTGGGAGTTGAGCGTTAACAGCATGAGAGAGTAGGAAGTGTGAGAGTGAAAGAAAACGAAGTGGATTGGGAAGGAGATCGGAACGAGAAGGAAGGAAGAGACCCAGCGGCGGCGGCCACAGTACAGTTTCCCTAGGTTTTCTTGTTACAAGCATTTGTGTTCTTGGGTCTGGGTCCTCCATGACCCGCTCCACTCCCCTCAACCCAGCTCATTCCTTGTTTTACCTAAGCCCATTCTATTTGTTTTACTTAAGCCCTTTCTCTTTGCTAATTCACACCCCATCTTTTGTTTGCTATTTAATTAACTCTATTCATTTTCTTAACTTATTTTAATTTTAATTAATTAGTTTCTTAGAAATAACATATAATTTTAAATAGATAATTTTAATATTATTTACCCAAATCTCATTTAGTTTAAATTTATGTTTATTTAATAATTTTAGTCTTACTTATTTCTAATTCAATTTAAATGCATGGTTTGTAAGTTTTATTTAAAAAGATATTTAATATCTCTAAAAAACCTATGAAAATAAAAAAATGAGAAAACTAAAAGACATGCTATTTTTCCTTTAATTTATTCCCCTCGTTTTGATTAAATACCAATATAAAAAGACATAAAAAATAGAAACATATAAAACCTAAAAAACATTTCTATTAATTCTCGTTACTTTCTATCTATGTTAAAATGCGTAACCAATTTTCTCTTCATATATTAAACAAAATCATATAAAAATGCATGTTCACACTTAATTGTTGTACGTCATTATCCGCATAATTTTCTGTCAATTATTTCATCGTACTTGATTATTCTGTTTGTGCCAGTCCAAAGGGAATTGTCTAATTTTTGTTGACTTCATGTCCTCAAAAAACGATCGAGCGAATACTCTCATTCATCAAAAACTTAGGTTAATTTTCCTCAAATATTCACCTTTCTTCAAAATTTCAACCTTTTCAAGACTTACACCTTTTAAGCCAAAACTTCGACATTAGGTCGTCGTATTTTCAAAAACCCGTCCGTATCTTTTTTCCGGCTAAAACGATTTATTTTCAATCAAGCGATCAATTTTAAATAAAACAGATATTTCAAAAGGTTCCTATAGAGTACTATAGATGCATTGGGTGCTAATACCTTCCCATTGTATAACCAACCCCCGAACCATAAGATCTCTTTTCAAAAACGCTTTGTATTTGTATTTTATTTACATTGCATATTTAGGGTTTTATTTCGCTCTTTTCCCTTTTCCTTTGGAAACAATAAAGCGCGGTGGCGACTCTTGCTTTTGTGAGACGAATTAATCAATAATTCGATCTCCGATTTACCCCGCTACATTTTTTATCGCTACAGAATTGGCGACTCTGCTGGGGAGAGAAGATTGACCTCTTGTTGGTCCATCCCTAAGTGGGTTAAGCCTAATTTGTCTTATCTGTTTACTATTATTTGATTTGCTTGATTATGTGTTTAAATTGGGGTGTTTGGGTTTTTTACAAAGGACGAATCCTATACCCGGATTAAGTAACACTTAAGGAATAGGACGGGCGGTATAGTCATGTTAACTTTGAGGGAGTAATCCCGAAGAAGGAGGCATGAGATCCCCCACTCAATGGAAGGCCCTCTTGGACTTAATATTTGTTTACCGAGTAATCGGGAAGACGTTATTATTTTCGACCTAGGAGCCCGAGAAGTTGAGGACCGTAGAACCCTAACCCATCTTGGCCTTTTTAGGTGTAGCGCGGAGACTATAACGGAGTAATTCGGAAGTAGTTGTTACGCGATGCTACGCTCGGACGAGTTTCTCTTGAGAATATTGCTAATTATCGAGTAATCAAGACGTTGGCAATATCCGAAGGAGGAATGTAGACTCTGGGAACTCTTAGAACCTTGTCTTACAGGTGTGATTAAACCCTTAGTACATACCTTGGGGATGTTTTTACCCTTGACTCCATGCGGAACGTTGAACCTTTTAACTCCATGTTTTTGACCTTGCTTGTGGTTGTTGCATCGCCATGCATTCATGCATCCATAAAACTCTTTTCGCTTGACTTTGAAGGAGTTTGGAGGTCTTTCTTTGTAAACATCACTAGTTTCGTCAAACTCAATGGATCTTGGGTGTCGATAGGGCGAAAACCCTAATCCACCAAAATGGATGATTGATCTTGACGACAACTTGATCAATGTTTGGAGCCAATTTAAAATTCATCTGTTATCTTCATACTTGGATGTTTATAACTTGATATCTTGAGTTCCTTGAAAGTCAAATAAAACTCTCTTTTGCACATCATACATCATTCTACATTTTCTTTGTCTCACTTTCAAAGGCCTTTTTCCGAGTCTTATTTTTCCTTTGGTCTCACCAGTACAACACTCGCGCTAAGAGGATAATGGAGAATATCAAGCAAGAGGTTTCTGAACTCCGCAGAGAGGTGACTATTTTGAAAGCTAGTTTGGATCACTTAACTGGTTTGGTTGAAATTCTGATCTCCGCCCAAGTCAATCCGTCTAGGAGGGAGGAAGCAAGGATAAAAGTCTTCACGGAGACTCTAAAATCTTTTTCTCATGAAAAGGTGACGGTTAATGCACCTGATGACTTTCCTGACAAGGTGAATGTGGGAGTGCGTCTAGAAGAAGATGTCGGAATGGGATGTTTATATGAAGTGGGTAGCTCAGTTAATGGTGTGAAGAAGTTTGATAATGACTTTTCCAAGAAGAGAACCAGAAGAAATAATCATCATCAGGATCCTCACGTTCATCAACAGAATCAGCAAGTTCCTAATCAGAGGAAAACCCAGTTTGATTCAATTCCAATCACCTATACAGAGTTGTTCCCTATCCTGTTACAGAGGAATTTGGTTCAGACCCGACCTCTACCGAAGGTCCCTAAGAAGATACATTGGAACTACAAAGCTGATTTGGCTTGCACTTTTCATCAAGGTGCTCGTGGGCATGACTTGGAAGGTTGCTTCGCTTTGAAGATTGAGGTTCAGAAGTTGGTCCGAGGTGGTATCTTGTCATTCAAGGACGTTGGTTTTGAAGTTCAAATCAAACGGGCGCCGAAGAGTAAACACGATTGAGGGTGACTTTGAGTTTGGAAGATGTTTTCGGTAGTTCAAGTGGAAAGCCTTCCCAGATTATTAACTTGTTTCTGCTTTTGTAGCTTTTCTTATTTATCGAAACATTGTTTGCATGTAAGAACTTGTTTGCGTCTGAATGATCATTTTAATACAATGAGTATGTTTGTCTTGAAGAAATTCATTCGTTTCACTCATATTTTCTTTCAAATTTTAAATTTCTTTTTGCATTATGATACCAACATGTTGCCCATTCTCTTGCCTAGGCAGAGATTGAAGGGGGGATGATGATCTAAAGAACACAAAATCTTTGGTTGCATGCTTTTGAATAAAATCTTGTTGATGATGTACAGGCATTGTTTCAAATCCCTAAACACCGGAGATATAAGGAAGATAATCCCTTGCTAACCCCTTTTGAGCCTTTGAAGCAGAAGTTTCTTTTCTATACGAAAAAACCTTGAATTTTAACCTGGGGCAGGGAAGTTTTCAGTTAATCTGATTGAGTGTTCAAAATTCGCAAGGAAGATGTTACCGTCACAAAATCCTTTGAGAGATGAACACTCATGTTGAATTAACCGAACATAGAGTTGGAGAACATCATGAAGAATGGGTGGGCACCAAATATTTTGAGCCTTAAAATCTTTTTCTAAAAAAAACCATAAACCGGACCACATTACAACCTTCAAAAGTCTTAATTGAAGCAAGGTCATTCTGAAAGCATACTTCAATGAGATAGTGTTCCTGACTCCCATGATTGTTCTAAATAGTTATGTTGGTATCATATGTTTCTCCTATACAAAAATAAATGGCGCTTTAACTCGCAAAATTTGTGCGATATCTTTCAAAAATCTTCAAGACTTATATAACTGTTGCATTAGAATTCTCATTCTCATTGTAAACTTTTTCTAACTGCAAAACATTTGCTTGATATCAAGGAAGCTCACATAAACACCAGTGATGAGTTTACCCTTTTAAGGCTTGAAACTATGTTGAGTAATTGGAGAATCATTTCAAGAAAAATCATATCCAGGGGCATGTCAGTTGAAGACCTTAAGCACGAACATGTTGCTTCTCCCAGTTATTGCTTTTCCCAACTTGTTTGCTCGTTTGGGGCAAAATTTCGAAGACTTTGTTATGCCAACTACAGTCAATCCGGGGCAATCACGTCGAGATTTGATGATTCCTCTAAGAGTTTGAAGACACCAGAGCATGGTGAATGCCAGGTCTTTTGTAAAACCCTCGTTAGACGATTTTCTCGCCATCAACCTTGTTGCTTGGGGCATCTGAGAAGTGAAGCTATTCGCAAGAATCGTCGTGCATCATGCAACTCATCAACAGTAAATTTGGGGCATCCAATATTGGTCCCAGGGGCAATCTAGACTTGTTAGAATGTGTGTTATGTATCGCACACTTTATCAGAGGTTGGTGTTCCCAGTACCTCCAGCTAAGCATGACTCCTTCCAGCTGAAGCTTTGTTCGTGTTGTTATCCTTTCAATGGATTGTCGACGTTAGAAGACTAGACTTTGGGTTTTCTACCTAAAATATCTTCCTCTCCAAGAGATTTGAGATTTGTAGGATGACTTTGCTCCAGTGATGGTGTTTGTCTTCTATCTCCAGTGATGTTCCCCTCCTTTTGAGATTAGCCGAGCATCAGGTTGTACTGTGATGTCTTATCATCTTCTGTCCATCTCCCCCGTCGGTTTTTGTCAGCATATACATGGCATTCATTTATTCATTTACACTTGCATCATGCACGCACAATTGTATTTGTTTATG